CAATATATCTCGATAATTCTTAAGTTTGTTTATGATTTTATAGCCCTCCTAAAATATTACTTTTAATTTCTGAGTAGAGTTTTTTTTCCAGAAAATAAAATATAAAGAAAAGAACTAAATACTAGTTTTATCGTCTACAATTAAAATTATCGAAATCTACATTTTTACAAAATATCAAAATGCAATTTTTACTTTAAAAATTCAGTGTATTATTTCCTAAAAATCTATTTACAAATTATATTTTCTGTTTCATTACGTGAGTTGTATTATACTTTATTAACTTTAGACATTTTTCTAAAATTTTCTTGCTCATTTATATTATTTTCTTCATTATTCAACTTATTTCTTTTTTACTTTTTTGAAAATTATTATTGAAAAATTATTTAGTATTATTGAAAAATTTATCGTTATCAATATTTTCAGTAATTATGTACTTTTTTATTATTTGCTGTGTCGCCGATCATCGGTGGCCACCAAGACGCTATAGCCAAGTTGAGTTTTGGTCCCGGTGCTCCCCCCAATGGCAGTCAACGTGTTGATAAAAATTAAAAACTTTAGTAAAAATAAAATTCACAAGCCTTGTAATATAAACGCATCCCATTTTTTTTTTAAATATATTCTCTATAAAATTAATTTAAAATACTTTAGAAAAAAAAAAAGAAAGAACGAAAATTTATTAAGTTTACTTTAAAATAATGAAAGGAGAAGAAAAGAAGAAAAGAAAGAAAAGAAAAAGAAAAAGAAAAAGAAAAGAAAAGAAAAGAAAAAAAAGAATAAAAAGATACGTTTTGTAACTCCTGCTTTCAAAGTTCAATTTTTTAGCCTTGTTTAGCAACCGTAAAGTCGCATATTCCCGTGATGATGGTAACTATGTAGTAACTATGGTTGTTACTATTGTAGCGTGCGGGAAAGTAGTACTTTCCAACCGATTGACCGTGCGGGAATGAAAATTATCTATCACTTTAATTAAAATTAAAAAAAAAAGTTGTTAAAAATCTACGTGAACAATGAATGAATTAACGAGATCTTGTACGCCTCCAGACCTAGTATCTACTGCTAAAAATGTTACACATGACAACTTTATTTAAAATGTAACCCTATTATGGATTGATTAAAATTTTTTGATAACTAATATACTTAAGCTAATTACAACATTTCTTTGTAAATGAATAATTTCTCTCTATTGAACTTTGCAAGCAGTCGTTACAAAAAATATTGTTCGATAAATATGTCCTAACTGAGGCATTCACAGGGCTTAATTAAGACACTCGCTAGAAGAAACAAGGCGTTTACGACGAGACCGAGTACGCTTACCACCACTCGCCTAACGGCTCGTGGGGGTAGGTAATCTGCGTACTCGGCCCCGTTGTAAACACACCGTTTCTTAGACACGTGTTTCCATTTTTTAGCCCTGGAATGCCTCACTTTGCACACATGTATCGAAAATATCTACTTCACTGTCGAGAAAAAATATAGATATGGGCGACTTCAGTTATCACACAACACACACACATACACACAGAGATAGAGACAAAGAGACAGAGACAGAGACAGAGAGAGATAGACAGAACAGAGGACAGAGAGACAGAGACAGAAACAGAAAGGGACAGGGACAGAGAGAGAGAGAGAGAGAGAGAGAAAGAGAGAGAGTCGCTATTGTAACTACTACACTACTACAGCTAAAGAAATACGTACATGTGAAATTTCGATTCGTATGTTTTAGCAAACGGCTGGCACAAACAAAAAAGAAAAATAAATAGAAACAAAAAAAAATGTTATTGTTACTTATCCCATATATATATATATAGAGAGAGAGTTAGTAGAAAAACAAGAGACAGATATACTAATTGTGAAATAATATCCAACTGAAAAATTTTACAGTGATCGTCACATTTTCCTTTTTTTCAGAACGTTGAATAATAATTAACATTAAAAATATATTTCCCATTGAAAAATGATTGAAAATAATTAACATTTAAATGTCATAATATTTAAGCATTATTAACTACCCTTTGTGGACGAGTGGCGACTCTCGGTTGCCACGACGTTTCGTTCGGCAAGACGAGTGGCGAGTGAGAGGCGACAATCGGTTTTTATGCTATATTTTGTTAACTTCAACTAAAGGTAATTAACTAAATGTACTTGCAAGGAGATTCTTTAACATTTGTCTGCCAGATTTTAAAAAAACGACAAAATTTATATGTAAAGTCATTTAATTATAATAAACCAACTCAAAATGTCGTCGTCCGCAAAGAGTTAAAAAGACCTGAATGAAAATTCGATGTGTATATAGTTCTTATTAACATTTGAAAATTACTTACCCGCTGATTATTATTTTGAGCTTCCATGTAACGATGTAGCGTACGTGAATGGATAATAGGACATTTAGTACATTCCTTTATATATTTCTCCAATCTTCTTAGTTGTTTATTCCTTATTTTAGGAAATTTATTTCTGTCAAACAATGTCATATCCCAATTGGGATACTTACGAGCCAATTCCCACGTTTTTATTTCCGTTTCAATGGGAATGAAATTAAGATTTTTATCTTCTTTAACTTTATTATCTTCATTATCTTCATCTTCGATATAAATATAGTCAATAACTTCACGTGGAGTAACATTTTCTTTATTCGATTCGTTGTTGTTGTTATTAATAATAATCTTATCCTTAATAACAATTTGTTTTTCTTCCATCATTTTAATGACAAAACGATTGATCTCTTCTCCAATTATCATGCTCGGTGTCATAACGTTTAATGATTCCCATTGATTAATATTTTCTTTAAAATGTAGAGATTTGGCATATTCATACGCACCTGTCAATTCCGATGTTGTCAGGTAAATTTTTTTTGAATTTTCATCAGGTTCTTCGTCGATAATTATCACGGAATTTGTAGAGTCGTTCATTTTTATAACAATAATAAAAAAAAAAACACTATAGACTATTAAAGAACATAAAATGATGTTATTTATTCTTCTCCTCCACTTTTATCAACGTCCTCAAGCAACGGAAGCTGACCAACAAATGAAGATTGAATTTCTTAAATTTTTATATATATAGACGGAATCCCTTTGTATCCTTTTTCTCCCACTTTCTATATTGCTGGTTTATCGGTTAGGTTAAAAGAGATTCAACTGTTCTTGGGCCAAACATAATGCAACGAAAACATTAAAGTATTTTGAAAGAAAATTTGAATTAGCGTAAAAAGAATTAAAATTATTTTTTCATCTTATTACTTTATTTAAAAAGATAACAATTTATATAATATATAATATATATATATTTATTATCATTACATTAATTATTAATAAATAATAATTTATTTTCCATTATCACTCACACATAGATTCGTTAAGCTAACGTTTATTAGCAAGTGATATAAATAAATATCAAGACTTATATATTCCGTGTTGAACAAGTCCTTAACTATTATAAAAATTAATCTTTAAATTATAACAAATAAATTTATTTCATATTGTAAGTAATTATTGTTTCAAGAGTTTTTAAATATTTAAATAAATTTATATTATAGTGTGTTTCATTATTTACTTTTTCAAACTGGGGTAAAAGAAACTTTCTCTTATTGGTTGATTACTTGCTTGCTAGAGATATCATTGGCTAGAATATTAATACTAGATTCAAAAGTATATCAATATTTACCGCTTTGGAATAATTTAAAATAAAGTTTGTTATTTAATATTTAGACCTTTTTTTGTTAATTTGACGAAAAAATGAATAATAAATATACGATTATTAAAAATTTATGAACTATGAATATTATTTTATTCGCTTGACGAGGATCCACCAATCAGCGTCAACATTTGATTGACATATACATAGTGACCGTGTATCAATCGTAAGCATGGTCGAATTTTATGCTCGGTTTTTTATTTTTTAATTTGTAGTTATTTATCACATTAAAATTATTTAGATATTTATTTAAAATTGAAATTTGACGTGCGAAAGAAAAGACATATATTTTAAAATGACAAATAATACTGAGAAAGGAAAGAAACGGCAAGCCGAAGATAATGCTATGGAGGTACGTATTAGAGGTTATATTTTCTTTCCTCTTTGTTATATTTCATGTATTTATTGTATTAAACTGGCTTATTATTTGAAAATGAATTTATTAGAATATTATGTAATAGGTTGAAGTGGTAAATGGCATTGAAAGAAAAGTTAAATCTGGATCTCCTGCTAAAAAAATCAAAAAAGTATACGGTGAACTTCGAAAGGTACATTTTGGTTATGTATTATAATAGATGTAATATAATGTAGTTTTAATTTAGTATATTATATAAAAAGGAGGTGTAATAATTGAGTGATATTTTGTAGATACCTGTACCTGCACATAGGTATACTCCGCTCAAGGAAAATTGGATGAAGATATTTACTCCTATTGTCGAACATCTACAATTACAAATACGTTTCAATTTAAAAACAAGGAACGTAGAAATTCGTACTGCTCCTGAAACCACTGCTATTTCCAATCTTCAAAAAGGTGCAGATTTTGTTAAAGCATTTATATGTGGCTTCGAAGTAGAAGATGCTCTAGCTTTATTACGTTTAGATGATTTGTTTGTCGAGACATTTGAAATTCAAGACGTAAAACCTTTAAAAAGTGATCACTTATCTAGAGCTATAGGAAGATTAGCAGGCAAAGGAGGTAGAACGAAATTTACAATTGAAAATGTTACAAAAACAAGAATCGTTCTAGCCGATACTAAGATTCATATACTTGGATCTTTCCAAAATATACAATTAGCTCGTAGGGCTATTTGTAATTTAATATTAGGAAGTCCACCGTCCAAAGTGTATGGTCATTTAAGGAACATTGCTAGTAGGGTATCTGAACGATTGTAATATTATATAAGAAATTGTATAAAATGGTTTCCTTTTTTGTATATATATACGTAAATATATAATATTCAGTCTGTTTTATAATATTGATATTTATTATTGAAAACTTAATTCTAATATAAGTTATAGTTTCTAAAAAATAACTCGGAATAATTTAATAAATGCAGTATTTAATTTAAAGAAGTATTTGGTATTTATATTTTCGGGGTACTTTGTTTATAACTAATCTACCATCATAACTTAACGAAGCAAATGTCCAAGGATCAGCAGAAGACCATTCAACTGCATAAACACTATCCTCGTGTGTTTCGTATCTCTCAACAACACCGTCTTCCAATCTAAAATATTTATGTAATTGTATGATAACATTATACATCACCAGAAAAAAGTTTTCCTTTTAAATAATATTTAAACAATACTTACTTTTCTTTTTGGCACATTTCATCAGATTGACCATTGTCATCTTCTGGTGAAACTATGTGCCCATATGGTTCAGAGGAAATAGATACAATACTATATAAAATAACTCTAGAATCACTACTCGATGTTAAAACTAGTTGATCGTGAAAACGATTGATTCTTATATTCCAAACCCAATGAGAATGTTCCATACGCGATAATACAGGCTCACTTGGTTCTCGAATATCCCAGAATTTCATGTATCCATCATCACCACAGGTAGACAAAAAATACTGTCTATTAACATTGAAATCTAAATCTCTGTAATAAAAGTATTCTTTATGTATTTGTATTTTTATATACGGTATAAATGTAAATGTTATTTTTCCTCTTTCTATATTAACCTAATTATCTGCGAATGAGCAGATGTAATTGTCCACGAAGGATCTGACGGTGCTCTTAAATCCCAACCTTGAATATTATTTTCATCTAATGTTACAAATTGGTTACACCCATTATGAGGATTCCATTTTCCATTTGTAAACCGTGGTAAATTTTTGCCAGATAAAACACCAGATACTGCAACCTAAAGAGTATATAACTAAGATTGAGAAAGTTAATAGTAGGAAGCATTCTAATAGTTAATTTAATAAGTAATTATATTTACTTGTGGTTTACTGTTACCAAGGTCCCATAGCGCAAAGCATTTATCTACAACCGATATTGCTTTTGTACCATCCATAGGATGATAAGCGATAGTTTTTAAATCACTACCATACTTAGTCGTATCAATTTCTGCTAGCATCTCCAATTGTATACTGTCATTTGTGTATTCTTTTATTTCAGGTAACTTCCAAAGTGCTCCTTTCATTTGACACGTTCCTTCATCTAAACAATTTCAATTCAACAACTTATTTAATATCTCTCTATTATTTCATTTTAAAATAGATTAAACAAATGAAGAAATACCATTTAAACTATTGTAACAAGTAATAAATAGAGAAGATTCGGTTGGTGATGCTTGCAAAGACCATATTTCACCGATTGGATGCTGAAATACTTGGGTTTTTAAACCATTAGTTTCTTCATTAAGTTCAACTAAATGTACTTGATTGTTAGTCAATTTTAATGATTGAGTTCCTACTAGAAATCTAACGATATCAGTTTCTGCAGTTTGTGCTGATAACGCTCTAGTCTGTAATATATATACAATTATAAATCAATCAATCATGGTAACTGAGTTTTTAATATACTGTAAAACTAAATTATTAAGAAAAACATCATACTTGAAATTCAAGTCCATATATCAAAGGAATGTCACTCTCCATTTTATCTTATACACATTTATTTCAAATATATAAACAATATATTTAAAAAATAATATTAATCGTTACTATTGAATCATATTTTTTCTTCGTACCGCTTAGTCAACGAATTATCAATTATGTATATCCTCTATATTAGTTATATTTAAAAAAATATTATTCTACAAACGCAACAATAAACATGTATATATTACAAAAATAACCAAATGACGACGTAAGAATGAATGTATTTCTTACTATTCGTCGTTAATTGACCAATCATAGGCGTATAAATCTTACAATTGTATTTTTCATAACATCTCCAATACTACATTCCCAAAATTTGTTTCTAATATGATTATATATATCGTAAAACAATTAAATAATAATAATCAAGTATTATTATTATAATATGAATAAAAGTAATATTTTAAATTGATTTTCTACAAAAGATTGTGACAAGGGTTCACGAATTTCCACTTTCTCGATAGAGCGTAACGGCCCTGTGCGTATTATCCAATGAAAAGCTTCGGGGTAACAACGCATGCGCAAATAACCCACGGTGGGGGTACATGCGAGAACATAATCCAGATCAGACCAGTCCGGCTAGTCACTCTTGACGGGGAGGGTCGTTCGTTCGGTTGCCTTGTTATCATACCCCCTCCATCAATTTCTTATTTGCACCGTTTCGATACACTAGCTTGTTCGTCGTTAGCCTGCGTCCGGTAAAACCAGACGCAGGGTCAACAGATAAAATATATCTAATGTATAGTTTATGGTATTATAGTGAACAAGTGAATATCTTAGATTCCATAAAATTGTAATATTGTAATTATTTTTTTTTTGTTATATCAGAAAAATCAACAGACACAACATCAAACTTAAAATAATACTTACTGTGTTTAACGGTCTACCAATTTTATTCTACATTGAATTTAAGTATACATAATATACATACATAGCATACTTATTATATATATACATATATATATATGTCGTTCGCGATATAAAATCAAAGTGTTCCTTTAAGTTTTCTTTCGTTTCGTCTCACGCAAATGCGTACACTTGTGTGCCCTTTTTTGATGTGGAGGGAATGCTGACGCTGCAACATCTTTCGTAAGTAAAGGTTATTTTATCATCGTTTTTATGTTTTTGCAGTATTTCTATGATGGCTTCTTTTTAATTTTAATTTTTTTGTTGAATTTGAATTTTTTTATCTTTTATTTTATCTAAAGATAGAAATGTCTTTTTTATTATTATCATCATCATCACCATATTTTTTAGTTGTATATAAATTTTTATAGGAATAATGCAATACAAAAATATTAATTTATACAATTATTAACTTGGTATTGTAATATATAAATTGATTGTCAGAAATATAAAGTTTATTCATATGAAAATATATTGTATTTTGATATTTTCTTTTTTAACTTTTTTTTTTTTGTAAAATTGATTGTCTCATTGTCAGCAGTTTCCAATGAAAATACACAATGGCGCCAATTATGATTTATCGAATTTTATTTAATAACTTTTTCTCTCATGTCAGTACAATTAAAATTAAAATGATCAAATTGTTAAATAATAATTAAGTAATATTATTTGAAATGTATTATTATTAATGAAATGTTTCGCGTTTTATATTTTTTAATTGAAAAAAATGAAACACGCGTGACACATGTAACGCACATTTGTATTTAGCAACGTGAAACATTATTCTTCAATTTAAAGTATGAATATGCGTATTTGTTACGTCAAAATTGATCTCAATTGGTTGCTCAATTGGTTAGCGAGTGTGATGAAACTTTTAAACGAAATGGTCATCGACATTAAGGCAATTTGAACAAAATAAATACCACATTTATAGGTTATATTTTCATTCAATAATTAAATATAATAATTAACATAAGTAATACTTGACTTAAATTTAATTAGTAATATAATATAAAAGTTTGCGTTCAATGCTCCTATAGCTGTTTTTCTTCATTAATTTTGTCCATTTAGTTAAATTCAAGGTCGCGTGTACAAAAAACATCATAAACGATATATATATATATATATATATACATCATGTTTCTTCACATTCGCATTTATTTAATCTGAAGAAGTATGTTCATTTTTTTTCAGCGTACTTCAATATATATTTTTTGTATATATTGAAATATTTCGTTGAAAAGAATAAAATAAAAATGACTTTTTGAAATAAAGTTAAAAAGTTCGTTATTTTCAATTTAACGTAGAAATAATTTTTAATTAAGTTTTTACAGTAAGTTGTTATAGTAAAGTTTAAATATTAGAAGTAGCAATACATTCGGTGCATTTTATTTTTAACAAATTTAATATTTATTTATAAAGATAATCGTACACACATCTATTATTCTTTAAAATAGTTTTCATTGTGACTTTGATTCATCTTTTAGAGAACTACTGAAATCATTGACAAAAAGAAAGATGGCGTTTTTGATTAAATAAATTTAAATATCAAAACACTGAATTAATTGTTTTACAGTTAATATATATTGTTGAGTTATAAAGTATAATAGTAGTTTACTGTAGTAAGATTTATGATATCGAATTTTCTTAGTTTTTATTGTATAATTATTACATTTTTATATTATTTATTATTATTATTGTTATTATTATTATTATAAAATATAATAATAATAAATATGTATATTTGTGATAATAATAAATATATAAGTATGTGCAACTTTGTTAAATAATTAGCTTTTCAGAAAATACAAAATGGCGTTGCATTAAAAGATAAACGATACATAATGGGTTTTTATTGGTTCACTCATAAAGTGAAAAATAATAACAATTATTTTTTTTTATTTATTCATAATATTTAGTTTTTTATTATTTTTAATAATAAATATATATACTTATTATTATTATATTATTATTAACTATACATATTTATATTTTTTGAGTGCTATATTTGTGTATTTTAAATGAAATAACAAGAATTTAAAAATTGTATTTGGAATAAAAAAAAGAGAGTTTGATATTGATAAGAAAGCTTGTTTCTTTGTGGAATCCATAATAATAAGAAAAATGTAAAAAAGAAGCAAAGTAGGAGGAAAGCTTTGTAAAGTTGCCCTTCGATCAATGAACCACATATACGCACGCACACACGTACACGTACACCTTTTCTTCACTCTTTTTCACCCTCTTTTACCTATCCCCCCCTTTCGTTGGCATCGCAGTCGAGTTCCGTGTGCAGCAGGTCAACTCGTTCGTTTTCAGCACGAGGGGGTTGATTTTCTCTCTCAGGGGGTTGATATACGTTCATTTCAACGAAATGACTTTTTCTGCAATTTTTGAACGTTTTTTATTCTTTTTTTCTAAAACACAATTCCATATTATTTTTCCTTTTTTAATTTTATTTGTTAAAGGGCATCACTAGGGTGACCGTTTGGTGAAAAAGGTGAATTTTGGGAATTTTTTGTTAAAGAAAACTACTGTATGGAATGTTGTAATTTTTTAAAGAAAATATTCGTGAATATGTTATAAATATATTACAAAATTATTGGACCGAAAAATTGAAAATTAAACGAGTTATTCGCGATCTCCCAAGGCCCCCCCCCCTACTGCTGCAGTTATAACGACTTTCACGTTTGCATGAAATAAAAAAAACCAAGAAGTTTATTAAACTAGAAGGGATTGCCCGTACTATGACCTTCGGTCGAGACAAAAAATTGAAATTAAAAAAAAAAGGTTTCAAATTTCGCGCGAAAATTTGGTGATTTTCAGTCTGCCAAAATTATATTATTTAATTGATCGGAAAATTGGTTGGTCATTGATATGGAAAAACATATATAAAAGAAGTTGCAACGAGAATCAAATAGATCGGATGATTTGTCTTCGAGTTATAACTGAAACGAATTTGAAAAATGTAATTTTGAGAAAAAAACACGTTTAAAAGTTTCATTTACTTGTTAGTTACTACTAATACTTAAATCAAGAAATATCTGATGGCTGTAACTCAAAAACTACTTGTATAAATTATCGAAATATGTAAAAACAAAAAAAGAATCGATTTTTTTCAAAATTTCACACTAGTAGTAGTAGTGTCCCTTAATAAAAGAAGAATTTTTCCCTATTGGACGTTAGAATATTCACATTCGTTTCGTTTCATTCGTCTAACAGATGACTCTCCATCTACGCGTGACTTTGCAAATTAAAGCCTTATAACACGTTCCTAACTGGCTGAACCAATCGTCGCCAGATGTCCGAACAATTTCACACACAGCAAGCAGCAAATATGTCAATTTTTCAATTATTATATGTCGTATAATTATATGTGTTCTAATAATTAGACAAAACATACAAAATATGAATATTAGTTTCAATTTCTTTTTTACAATATTTGTCATTTGTTTTATTAGAAAAATCTAACGATGTTCAAATTTTAGTTACAAAATTTGATTGTATTTTGGTAATTAATATAGGGGAAAGAAAAATACACCACGTAGGGGGAATTTTATATTTCCTGTTATAATATATTTTTATATTCTCAAAACGGTATTACGGTTCGTTTCGTCTGATATTAAAACATCGATTGCACGGAAGGATTCCACCGTTTACGTGGTAAGACTTTAACTGTAGATTAAAAAAAAAAAAAAAAAAAAAAAAAGACTATTTCATTGGCCAGTTTGTATTCCCAGTCTTTTATCTGCCTTTCTCTCTTCATATCTTTTATCTTTTTGACAGGAACGATAACCGCTTGACTCGAGTAGTAGTAGTCTCTCGTCGAGTTTACAGCATCCTCATAACTTTTCATTATTATTTATTTTTCTTTTCTATCTCTCGAACGCAACCGTTTTACGTATGCGCAACTTTGTTAAATAATTAGCTTTTTAGAAAATACAAAATGGCGTTGCATCAAAAAAGAAAATACGACACGTAGTGGGTTTTCATTCGTTCACTCATAAAGCTTTTAGTTTTATCATTAGTAAGGATCGTAATACTGTTACTTGATTGATTATTACATTCAAGGACACTTGGAAAATACCATTTGTTCTTCCTTCTATTCATAGTATCATCCCCAGACATATCCTGGTGGAAGCGCCGGAAGCGCGTCGTCGCAACTCTCAAGGTTGTTCAGAGTGGAAAAAGGAGAGACCGTGACATTTTCGATATCGTTTTTCACGCCTGGCCTTTTCCTAGAGCCCATCGAGCCGAGAATTTATATTCACCCCTCCTCTCCGGTTTCTCTTTATACGTTTATAAAGACGTAAAGCGTGTCGAATATAACACTTCTCTTCTTACGTCATTGGACGTTTACAATCAAGGTCATTTGGTAAATCTTTAATCAATGATCCTAATAATTCCGATAATCCTACACAATTCTTACAAACGAGATTAAATGATTTTTATTAACTCTTTTAGGCCCTACGTGCCACTATAATAGCTTTCGCGGATGCCATCTTTCAGTACGACGCGCCACTAAAGTGGCTTTCGCGAATGTCATCTTCCAGTACGACACGCTGCTATAATAGCATTCGTGAATGTCATCTCCTAGTACAATGCGCCATTACAGTGATTTTCGCGAATGTCATCTTTCAGTACAACGCACCACTATAATGGCTTTCGCGGATAACATCTTTTAAAATATATTATACCCAATTTTATTATTAATTATTAAAGTAAATTATCAAATTAAAGTATATGTGTATCATTTCTTTGAGAAAAATTATAATTTAATCATGAAAAACTTTATTTAAATGTACTTCGTGTAGAGAACAGCCATTGTTCGTCACACATCGTAGTTTTATCGTTTACACGTAATTTTCGATGAACCCTGCCCGTACAAGGAAACAGTCCCTCGCAACATTCAACTGTGCCTAAGAGGTTAATCTTGATGGTAGTAGAGGGTTGTATTATGTATTGCAATTTATTTTACCATACATTAAATGTTAACCCATTCGAGACCACGACTTTTTTCGAACACGGTTCTTAAGAGCCATTTCTTTTTGTTGTTGTTATATTGCCAATTTTACATTGTAAAATTTTGTTTTTCTATACTTTAAAGATACTATTTACACACAAAAAAGTCTTATCTTGACGAATACTTTACTCAAAATAATTGATAATAAATAGCTCGGTATGAT